CTCTCATTTTTGGATCAAGGGTACACAATTTCTATTTGTATTTGTAAATATTGCTTCTCGGTGGACCAAAAACAAATTAACAAATTATAAATTGATTGAATGTGCGCATTTCAATTCAGGTGACAGGAGCCTCACACACTGAAACGGTCCACACGTAGAGGAGAATCAATATTCATGCTACTCTCCGCAAAGGAAAGCAACACTTCCAAGATAACGGCGATGGCGGCGGCAGCCGGCAGCGGCGGTCTATCGGAGTTGTACGCCAGCTCAAAGCGGCTCTCTCTCGCGGTCAGAGATGCTTTGGAGAGGCTCGAGCGCCTCGATTTCACGTCGTCATCATCCTCCTCGCTGTCATCGTCGACCGCCGTCGTCGCGGGGTCTTCCGATGACCAAGTAACTTCGATTCGGAGGGACTTGAACCAGATCCAGTCGCTCTGCGCCGATATGGATCGACTGTGGCGTTCCATAGCCTCCAAACCTCAACGCGATCTCTGGAAAAGGTTATCTCTCCATTCTCTCGCTGTGTATATCTGCGTGTGTTTATGAGTTTGCGAATTGTTTTTATTCGAATATATTGGATCATTTCGGTTTGGATTATTTTTTAACTGTAAGATCTCTAGGAATTTAGTTGTGGATTATTTGAGCTTTCTTTGTTGAACTTAATTTTGCGCTTTTCGTTTTTCGTGAGTAAATGCCGAAAGGTTTTTAGAAGATGTTGGTCAATCTGCAGATTTCCAAGAATTGATATCGTCGTTATTCAGTGGAAGGTTTATGTGGATTGTGATCTAGTTATGATGCTGCTGGGGATTTTCAGAGATTAGATTGTTCGCTGTTGATCAAATCTTGGTGGGTCGCCTGACTGAGAATTGGATAATTGACTGTGTTAAATTAGGGCAATCAGTTGTGGAAGTATGAGTGCACTTTAGGATGTGTGTGTGTGTGTGTGTGTGTATTTGTGGTAATGTTTGATATCTTCCAGGATAGTCGATTTGGTCTTCTTTGAGCTTGGAGGCATCTTCCTCTGAGTTATATTCTTTTTGATATGCTGATTTCTGCAGGGATGACTTTATTAGATGCACTAGGAAAAAATCGTATTATATATATTCCATAACTTCTAGATTCCGCTTTCTACATTTATTTTAGTAGATTTATGTAGAGAACTTTGATTCTAATGAACAATTCATGAATAGGACGGTTGAGATTGGTTGGTGTTAAGAAAAATATTTCTTCACTGGTAGGAGTTCCATCT